ATCCCTGAAACTTGGAGCCGCCTGGAGCGATTAACCGCGTCAAGATTCGGAAGATGGAGTGTATGGTGCTCTGATTCAAGGTTCTCTCGTTTCAACAGGTCTCTGAGTGTACAGGGTTCGAGGGTTGGCGGGGGTCTCTGAGGGCTCTGAGGGTTTGAGAGGGCAAGGGCCAGGCTCTGAAGGCCTAAACTTGGGTCTGTGAGGGATCTGGGGGCTTAGGCTTGTGTCTCTGAGGGCTCTGGGGCTTAGGCTGAATGTCTGCGGCTTCAAGGCGGACACAGCGTAGAGTAGATGCAGCCCTGCTGGTGTCAACTTCCAAAGCTAGCAAAGGATCAGCTGGGCCATGTCTACCGGAGCATGGTTTTCAGGATGTTGATAAGCAAGAGGAGACTGGTCGTGGGGTTCTCAGGATGGTTTGGGTCAGAGGGACCGAGCCTCCGGGCCACCGCGCCGAGGGTTCCAAACAGGAGCATGTGCAACCTCGGGCGGCCAACGGCTCATGCCAAAGGTTTTGGGTTCAAGGAGGGCTTGGAGAGTGGGCCTAAAGCTTTAGGACTCATTTATGTGGCCTCTCGCCCCCCTCCTCCAACGGCAGAGAGGTACACGCAGGGGGTAGGCCCCCCCCCAAAAAAACAACCACAAACCATGACGACTTTAAAGACCCCATAGGCCCCCAACAGTTGCATTCATCCACCTCCTGTATAAACCCTAGACCGTAAGCCCCAAACCCCAAAGCTCAAACTTCGCGGGTTCCTTGGGAAGTGAACTCCCAGGGCTGGTCATGAGAGCTCTGAGGAACTTTTGAAGGGGGTGAACTGCCAAGAGCCCTCTTCAGACTAAGCCCATATTACTCCCCATCCCCCCTTGCGGCTGAATGTGTTTGAAGCTTTGATCTATACAGGTGCTGAAGAACTATCTTTTTACTGATCTTTGCTCAGGATGTGTTCACTTCCAGGCGCTGCACGTCGAGTCCATCGTAGCAGCAGCAAGGGATATGTGGGCCTCTTGAAGGGAGTACGTGCGTCAGCTCCAGGAAGTCTTGTGGCTCGCTTTCCTTGTGCTACTTTGGGGAGGGACCGTACAGCCATCCTGGGGAGTTGTGGATTTCTGCTGGGTGATGTGCTCGGGACCGAAGCCAAGAACCAAAGAGGCTGCAGGACTTTCCTGCTCGGCGTCCAACTACCAGTGATACGGCATTGCTGGCTATGCACAGGCACCATATGTTATAAGCTACGACATTCCAGATTGCAGACACCTTTTTGCGAAACCCAAGCCAACTGCGTTAATGATTGCAGGCGCTTACAAGCATCTTTGAAGAAAAGTTGCTTTGCAGGACTCTCTCTCTCTCTCTCTTACAAGTGCCGAAAGGGTCTGCACGAAGCTGTCGACCCAGCTCTGCTCACTCAACAGCCTGCACTACTACTCCTACGACACAGAGCAGCTTGCAGAGCATGGTGATAGGAGATGCTTTTCACGCTTCGCTACAGGTCGCGGGGGTTGGTCGTGTTTCATGCGTTTCGGCGAAAAGGGAGAAACGTTTCTCAACGGTCGACGCAGTGGCTGAAATCTGCTGACCACGCTTCGAGAGGCAGTGAAGATAGGCACACATGCATACTTATGGTTCCATGTCCAGTGTCGGGAGCCACTACAACCTGCCCCATGATATCACCCCCCAACGAGCCCAAACAACCTGCAGCAACAAACCACAGCGGGGGGGGAGATGGGGGGGAGGGGGGGGGGTAGGGGTGGGGGAAGATGCACCGTGTATCTATGTGCATTTGCATATACATATATATATATACACACATATATATGCATATATACATATATACACATACGCCTGTACATATACGTACGCACACGTGTGTATATATATGTATATATATATATATGTGTATATATAGTGTACAAATACACAGTAGTGTACTGTTGTGGTTATGTCTACGCTTTATGTTTCTAACATAGCAGTATCAGTACAACTTGCATGCCCTGCCCATGTATACAACCTTCGGAGACACTTCCGTAACACTTTGTCCAATGGACCTTCTGCCCGTCACGAGGTCAGCATCTCGTTCAAAATGGCCCCAGAGGCGAAAATGCTCGCAGATCCCAAACTGGTGGTAGATCTCGAGCATATTTGCACAATGCGGATACTTCTTCAAATGGGATGTGTTCGGGATCCCAATCTGCTGCTGAGGCGTGCTGCACAAGGCACGTTGTCTCGGACATATAAGCTTGTGAGGTTGATGATCGGTGGTGCATCCTCAGCAGGCTGCCTGCATGTTTCTTCCTTTAAACCTGAATTTTGCAGCGACAGAGCTCCGCACAGCAGCGAAAAGCTTTGCGTGGGGTTGCTCAGATTGCGTGGGCTTGCGGCTAGAGACTGCCAGCTGGAAAGCGCTGAAGGACAAAGAGGCTTCTTTCTTCCTCGGGTTTGGTGAACGGACGACGCATCGGCCGTGGCTGTGGCTCTCTGGCCTGAAATCAATGCGTCAATATATCCCCTGAACTCTAAACCACAGCGATCACAGTCAGCTCAGCGAAACAGTGGCTCAGACCTGGGCGCGATCACTTCAAACTCGAAGCTCCGTGCAGTTGTTAGGTACACCAATGATCTGCATATACAGACACGCACACGCACACATTGGTGAACTTTCTACAAACACATACACATGTGTCTACACATGCACATGTGAAGGGCAATACATATGTACATATACGACTACATATATACGTACATACATGCATGCATGCATGCATACGTACATACATACATACATACATACATACATGCATACATACATACGTATATATGTATATGCTCACCCCCCCCCCAATGGACCAACCGCGAAATGAAAAGGACAGGAAAAACTAGTTGTTTTTGTCGTGCTTTGTGTTTTCTTGCGTGTTTTGCCTTTTTTCTTGTGCTTTTTGTGCATTTCGTGCATTGTTGCACTTTTCTGGTGCTTTTTTGCACTTTTGCACTTTTGCACTTGTTTTGCTTTTTTGCTCTTTTGCACTTTTTTGGCTTTTTACACTTTTTTGGCTTTTCGCACTTTTGCACTTTCTTTTGGTTTTTGTTTTGCATTATTTTCATATGCTGTGCTTTTTTTCTATGCTTGTCTTATGCATAGAAATCCAAAAATCCAAAAATCCAAAGTTCTCCGGACAATCTCCCAGGAAACTTTGGATTTTTGGATTTTTGGATTTTTGGAGTTGTGGATTTTTGATGATTTTTATGATTTTTCACATTCGAGGTTGGCTCATATTCGTTCTCCTTTTTTTGAATGAAAGGAGGGCGACCATTCAAATGTACCCTTATCAGAATTTTAAATGCGTCCTACCTACTCGAAACGTAACAGAGAAGGCCTATATGTGCAAATATCGACTTTTGCATTTGAAAGAAGCTGAAATATCCCTTTTTCAATAAGAACCATTCTGGGATCACAGTATCTGCTGTTTAAGAAGAAAGCCTATATCTCATGAACACCCTTTCTTTGCGATAACGATTTAGTTCTTCTGATTTTAATTCAAGCTCTTAATATTGCATTGCCCCCTGTGATTATTGCAGCAAAGCCTGCTCGAATCGCATTAACGTCTTAGCTACTCGATTGAAAACTGTATCAAAAAATCTAAGTAGCCTGTTCAAGAAGCCAATAAGGTTTTGAAAACATCCTACTCGAAAAGCCAACAAGAGGTTGAGCAGAAGAATTCAAGACAGTAATAGGGCTTGGGTCCAATACAGGGCTAGTGAACTGTCCCAATGGACCAACCGCGAAATGGAAAAGAAGTCCAAAAGTCCAAAATCCAAAAATCCAAAAACCCAAAAATCCAAAAATCCAAAAATCCAAAAATCCAAAAATCCAAAAATCCAAAAATCCAAAAATCCAAAAATCCAAAAATCCAAAGTTTCCTGGGAGATTGTCCGGAGAACTTTGGATTTTTGGATTTTTGGATTTTTGGATTTTTGGATTTTTGGATTTTTGGACTTTTGGAATTTTAGATTTTTGGGTTTTGTGTTTTTTCACTGTTATTTGTGTTTTTTTCATTCTTTTTCGTGCTTTTTTGCACTTTTTGCACTTTTTGCACTTCTTGCACTTTTTGCACTTTTTGCACTTTCTTGCCCCCTTTTCTCTTTTTTTTGCACTTTTTTTGCACTTTTTTTGCACTTTTTGCACTTGTTTGCACTTTCGCACTTTTTTTGTACTTTTTGCACTTTTTTGTGCTTTTTGCACTTTTTGGTGCTTTTTAATTTCGCAATATTTTTGCAAATATTTGTCCTCTTGAATGTGCTTTTCCAATCCAAAAAATCCCAAAATCCCAAAATCCAAAAATCCAAAAACCCAAAAATCCAAAAATCCAAAGTTTCCTGGGAGATTGTCCGGAGAACTTTGGATTTTTGGATTTTTGGATTTTTGGACTTTTGGACTTTTGGATTTTTGGCTTTTTGGATTTTTTGGATTCGGAAAGCACATTCAAGATGACAAATATTTGCAAAAATATTGCGCAATTAGAAAAAAGCACCAAAAAGTACAAAAAGTACAAAAAAGTGCAACAAGTGCAAAAAGTGCAAAAAAGTGCAACAAGTGCAAAACGTGCAAAAAAAACAGAGCAAAGCACAAAAGAACACACAAAGCACAAAAAATCACGAAAAAAACACAAAAAATGCACAGGAAGCACAAAAAGCACAAAGAAGTGGACAGGGAAAGCATGGCAGGGTACAGTGTCTCGAGAACCTTGGACATGTCGATGTGGGTCCATTGGGGTTAGAGGTTGGTCCATTGGGGGGGGGGGGGGGGGGCGACCATGTATATATGTATATACGTATCTACGTATATACATATATACCTTTATACATATATACATATACATATATACATATAAATAGACATACACATATATACATATATACATATATACATATATACATATATACATATATACATATATACATATATGCATATATACATATATACATATATACATATATACCTATATACCTATATACATATATACATATATACGTATATACACACATATAGATATATATATACATATATATATATATATATACGTATAAACATATACACATATATACGTATAAGCAGAGGTACATATGTTACATATACACATATATGCATACATATATATATATATATGTATGTATGTACATATACATACGTATATACGTATATATATATATATATATATGTATACTTTTCTTCAGATATATACATGTAGACATACATGTACATATATATGTACAGATATGTGCATCTTACAGAAGTACATATGTGTACATGTATACATGTATACGTGTGTACCTGCTGTATACATTTACGCGAAAAATCTGCTTTCAGAGGCCACCCCTTGAGAGAGGCCCCAGCGCCCCGCGGCTGCAGCAGCGTCGCGTCACCGGCCTTCTCCGGCTTTGGGAACAGCACCTCGCACAATCCCGAAATGTCTGCGAAAGTTTCTTGCCCAGACCTCTTTCAACTGGAGCATGCACCTTGGAGAAGTGAAGGGAAGAAGGAAGGAAATGCACGAAGCTTTGCCGGGGTCGGTGCCATGGGCATCACGTTGTCCCAGTCCGACGTGATCATGTCGGAGCACGGCCTCGAGGATCAAGTTCGTCACTCCAATCCAACTCCCATCCCTTGTCTTTCGCTGTCTCGGCATCCACGCTTGAAGAGCCAGCCCGTGGTGCGCTCACGGTGCCAGCAGGTGCCACACCTCTACGAAGGGTTCTTGAAGCATTGACAAGGTCGTGTGTGTATGTGTGCGACTCCTGAGCAGCGGAATCCCAGAAACACATGGGAAGACAACTGGTGACAACTCCCTTCTTAGAATAGAGTGCTCTGGAGCAACTTCCTGCCGTTTCCAGCAACTGTAAGGAAGCACTTGCTTTGATGCGTAGCAAAGATCAGATTCAGACCTTGGCTTGTCTGCCTTGAAGACAACCGGTCTGGACATGTTGCTAACTCTAGAGGAGAAGCTGCTCCACTGAGGTTCCAGCCAGCCATCGATGCAGCCATACTTGATCTCCTGCGCATACTGCACCGACTGAAGCATCGCTGTAACATGCTGAAACACCGTTTGCCAGAGATACACTAATGCACAGCAACCTACCTGCTAGCCACGAAAGCAGCAAAAAAGACACACCGACAGCGTGACATTCCTTGAATGCGCTACGTTCTGAATCCACCCGTCCCTGCCCAGAGCGAACTCCACGGCTGAGGACAGCCGTGCATTGCGGCCTCGACGACTGTGCTTTGGACATGGAAATACATGACTGTATATGCTGAAACCACTGATCATGCCACGTTTTCCGTTTGGGTGGCTGGCGGACAGTCGCAACCTTCTTATCCGGCATAATCACGACCTCTCATGACAAGCTATGATCGGATGTTTCAGGTGCAAGGACACATGCAAGCAAAAGCAACGACATGTATGCCCCGCACAAGGTTGCACTTCATGCTGGAGTGGGCACGAACCAAGAACAAGGCCTACTCATGTATCATTTTACTTTTGAGGAATCTGGTATCTGGTATCAAGACGCAGGGTTCCCAAAGGTACCGCAACGCCGCAAGTCAAAATCAGAAAATTAGATATCCCAACTCGATCAGAATATACAAGGACTGCCGCGATGGCAGGCTGGCATCACAATATGTAGGTACGACGAAGACTATACAAAAGTCCCCGAAAACCTACCAACACACCTATGTCCATGCGCGGAAACTATACAAAATCTCCGAAAAAAAAGCTATTTTACTTCTGAAGACATGACATGACTGAAACCCACATATCCAAGTTTTGGGGTTATAATACGTCATCGTTCTCATCATTCTCATCCGTCTGTTGCACGGTCCGCAACACCTGTGAGCCTCCCAGTTGGGGTCCTGCCTTGATCGGGCCGGAGCGGGTGTTGCGCACGAGAGTCAGGGTCACCCTTGGTAAGCAAGAAGCCCGGACTCAGGCTAGCATCTAAGCCGATCTAAGCTCGTCAAGTTCGTCTCGTTCCTACACGGGTGCTTTGAGGCCTCAAGCTCTGAGGCGCAGGAGTCGCTCGGGCAATGGCGAGTCGCCCTCAGACTCCCCCACCAACCTGCCAGGGCAAGGGAGGCAACTGCCGCCCTGCACCAGATACCCCCCCTCGCCTGCACAGCCAAAAAGGTGCATGCTCAGCGTGACTGAAGGCAATTCCACACAACCATAAAACTGATGTTGAACCCGAGCCAACGCGAGCGAGTTCAACTAAACGTGAGTGAATTTGACTGAACGCCTTTGCACGACTCAAAGAGACCGAACGCGATTCAACGCGATCGAAAACGACTTGAACGTGAATGAACGCCGGTGGTGCTTAAGTGTGAAACAGCTGCCTTGCAATGTCCTCGACCTGAGCATCGACGGTCTCTGTTCCATTGACGCCAATAACCTTAGTGGCCAAGGGCTGTCAGCCAGGACAAATCAGGGCTCGAAGGCAAGGCGATTGTTCATGTGCCATCACATGTCTTGCTGCATCGGACGCACATGTTGCATCAGCGAGCAGGATCAGCCCGTCTCGTCCACCCAGCGAATCACACACAGAGCTTTCAGAAGTGCCACTTCTTCTGAACCCTCTGGGCCCTTGACTCTGTCGCCTTCTAGGATCCACATACCGGTATCTTCTTCCGTGATGCAGACTTTCCTCCAAGAAATTGCAGTGTGAGTCTGTGTACTGCATTGCCTTGAATTCCAATACACCAGCACGAAGCAGTGTTGGGATCTTGGATCATCTCGCCGCAACCGTTCGTCTAATGATTTGCAACCCTGTCCTGTTGAGCTGGTCTGCGTTGCTTTCTGGAGTGATGGCACTCACCCCTACGCCTCCCAGTTGGACTGGCTCACTTAGGCACACTGGAAGGATGCCTGTGTCCTGCCTCTGCCATCGGGGAAGGCCTCCAAGGTCAAGCCCAGCGGCTTCCTGGGACTTGGATCCATGAGAACATGTGCGGAAAAACCCAAGCTCAGTCACGCTGCAGCCTTTCGAGTCTTCGGAATCTTGAGATTCTTCAGTTTCTCTGGTACTGAGGGCATTACGGAATGGAAACGTCGAACACAGCACGATCTCCGCCTGAAAAAACACATGAGAGATTTGCAGCGAGCGGCATTTCAGCGGCATTTTGTGGAGAAGATCCCTGGTCGCAAGATTTGCTGCTCTGGCAACCTTTCTCTGGAGTCTGAAAACCAACTGGAAATATGGTATATTGTAGATATTATCGAAGAACGTACACAGGTTTGAACAGAGAAATGTGTCCCAGTGAGAGTCGCAGCTTGGGGCATGTGACAGCATGAAGCATATTAGCTCTGCTCACTCAACAAAACACAAGGACCCTCAAGGACCATCAACGGCTGCTCAACTCGCGGGGCTCCCGCTGATGCGCTTCACCTTCCTGAACCACTCCACCCTGCGCCATGCGCACAACGGGAATGGGTTGAAGTGGAAAGCCTTAGGGTTCAGACGTGGCCGGGCTTTCAAAGTCAAGACAAGCAACATCCTCGGGCATGTTGCTACTAACGTGGCACGGCCACGTTTCACTTAGAAGCCTCAAATTTAACCTCTGAAACAGCACGGATTCCCAGTTCTTGGCCACATGGGTCACCTCGTGGCTCGGAGCGCTGTGGACTTGCGGCTGAGACGCGAAGCCTGGATGCACTCAGGGTATCCGAAGGGCTTCGGGAGACTTGCAACAAGGGAGCTTTGCATGCAGTCACAGTTGACTCGTACTATGCTGTGAGTACAAGAAAGCACCTTGCGGCATCTACTTGCCCCACAGTGTAGGGCGCAGCTCTCAGCAGAGCCTCCACTCCTCCCACTTAACATCGTTTCACCGAGTGCCGTACCATCCGTGCCAAAGGTGTCAACAACGCGCCAGTGAGTGCCAGGCCGGCCAAGCTCGGGAGCCCCAGGCCCTAGCAAAACAGGAGCTGAAGTAGCACATGGGGCGCACGCACCTTCACTGACAGCGTTGACTTTCACCTTGAGCGACGTTGCCCTTCAACGGAGCCCGAAGTTGTGAGCGGGTCGAATGGACAGATGCTGAGACAGCCGTCGAGCCCATGCTTAAGTGAAGCTGTAGAATGCCAGACATTGCAGCAAAAGAGTTTGCGCCGGTTGAATCACAAGCAAGATGCGATGAGCGCTGGAAGGCTGTGAATGCTCCTACTGCTCATCCGGTTTTCAGGATCTAGGGGTGGAATGCTGGATGCTTGAGGCCCGACCCCTCGTCCCGCCCCCAATTGGCCTGAAGACCATCATGAGAGGCGCTCGTCTCAGGCTGGACGGTGCCTCTCAGGTGAGACTCTTGGCATCCTTGGCACTCTCTGCAAGCGGCGCTCTGTGAGCACCCTCCGCTGCCACACTGCCACGCACACTGCCATGCACAAGCGCTTTCATTAGGACCTTGCAAACGCCCGGTAGATGCATGTGACCCATTGTGACCCGCCTCGTAGGGTCGCACCGACTAGCCCAGAGCCCGCGCGGGCGGGACCTGCATCGAAAAAAGCATCGACATTCCAGGATCGACGTTGTGTTGCCGAGCCGCCCGAGCCTACGAAGCTCAGAGCCACCTGGAGGGCGGCCACCAGCGCCAGGGCCGTGGCCACCTTCAACAGAGGCACCAACGCAGGACCGAGATAGGCCAAGATACGCTTTTGCCTGGCACCAAGGCCATTCTGCTGAAAACTTCGGGTAGTCTGGCGTAGGCACGGAACGAATAGCTACATTGAGAGCTGCCACCGGGCAATCTGAACGGCACCGGCATGCCGGCACAGGCCCCTCCCATCACTCCCATCACTGAAGTCGAAAGCAGATCCCAGAGCACTGACTCAACTGTGCCCTAGACGAAGATCGGCCCTGCCTGCTTGGCACTGAGCATGGCCGGGACCGAAGCCTTCTTTCATGCTTGCACAAGTCATATGGCATATTCGTCTCACCACACAATCTGTCTCCAAACACAATCTGTCTCTCAACCCAAGAGAGTGCTCTCCAAAACAGCAACCACAAAAAGCACGAAGAGCCCCCATCACACCACCCAAACAACGACGGAGAAAGTGCCCTCCGGGGCCTTCGGTTTGGCCAGGGCGAAGTCTCGGGTTCGTGCTGAGGAGCCATTCAAGATCAAGTTGTTGCACGATTGAGTCGATGCAAGGTGGCACAGTGTGCTCATCAAGCCCTTGTAGAGAACGCAGGCACTGAAGGGTGCAAACGGACGAGCAGGCTGCAACCAAGACCTCCTAAGCCTCACGGGTGGTGCTTTGGAACTGCTGAGTGCACCTCTGCGCAATGCGACAAGACCTTCCAGAATGGTCCAATGTTACGCTTCAATTGCCACTATGAAAACGACACGACAGCTCCCGTACCTGGATCTTCATTCTGGGAAGCTAGCGCATCAAAAATTGGATTAGGCCATGCGCCCACCCTGCAGTGAGACTGGAAAATCGTCAGCAAGCCAGCTTTCGACTCCAGCGCCAGAGTGCAAACTGCAAGCTTCGGTGTTTGAGCACATCACTTGATGGCAACACAAGTGCTTGCGACAGCTGTGATTTTGCCGCACCGATAAAACGCTGCTCAACGGATGCTTCGATCCTAATAGTTCCCAACCTGGCACTGACCTATGCGACTTATGCGAACGCAAAACTGCTGGGACTGGCAGTCCAGCCCCTCCAGCAAGTGGTGCATGAAGATCGTGCATGTCTTGGGTTCAATTGAGGCAGAACTTCTTGTCTTGTCAGTAAGCACCGGTTCGCAATTAACTGCCGCAGTCAGGCTCGACTGCTGGCAACGTCCGGGACCGGAAGCTGCATCTTCGAGCTGAGAAATGCTGGGGACACGCTTTTGGGCAGTGCTCAATGCTCTCAAAGTGCCAACTGTTTCTAGCACACGCCTTCTCGGCCCATTGTGGGCAATACAGAACAACTAGCGCCACCTTGAACCCACGTGCGGCCAGCTAATGCCGTCTGATGCCCTTTTTGTGCTGCCTCATGAGGCATCCTTGAAGCTTAACTAGGCAAGAAGAGCTACCCACGTATACCACATAAACATGATAGCGCCATTAGCACCAGACTAGCGCCCCGACGGTAGCCAAGAAAGTCGCGACGTTTTGACTTTTGACCTTTGAGGTTGCTTTGACCGTGTAGCCCCTACATGCCCTTGTTCGAAGATGGCTTCTGACTCTGAGAGTTCTCGGCTCGCTCACTGAGTCGGCGTCCTCACGGCTGGGCCTCAGGATCCCCAAACCCCCCACGTTCCCACAAAGAGCTGGCGAGCCAACAGCGAAGGCAACTCATCGCAACTCCACGGCTCTTCTGCCCGGTATGCATCTTCGTGACTTGAAGGATACTGGCTCACAGACCATTCCACATCAAGCATGGATCCTTCTGAGGATCGTACGCTTGGCGTGGACTTGGCCAGCTCCATCTCTTCCTGCCATCGCGGCTCTGCTGCTGGACTGCTCAAAACGTGAACACGAAGCTTCCGAGGATGTTGCCCAGGTCAACGGTTTCCATGTCTGGTCTGGCAGGGCAGCTTTGCCTCATTCATTTCCGCATCGATGTCACCGAAGAGAGGGGTTGAAAGGTATCGCCTTGCGCAAATTCAAGGAAAGCGACTCTCTGCCATGCTGATGCAGTTTAAACTCGACCCGAAAATCCCGGAACTTGGGTTTTTGATGCTTTGGGGTTACTTAAAGGCAAGGAAGTGGGCTATTTTGAGTATTTCCTCGACTCGGATCTACCAGTCTACCAGCAACATCCGGCACGTAACTCTTCATTGGTTTTTCACAAGCAAGCTGCCGAAATCGGAGCGCTCATGCCCAAACGCCAACTCAAGGCTTGCAATCATGCAGCTGGCTACCCCTGAGTTCAAGGCTCGCTGAGCATCGTGTTGCACACAAAATATTTCGTTAAAGGATGTTGAATGCTTGGGGTCAAGCGTGTCGAGGGCAGTCCCGACGTCTCAGTCAAAGTTTCATTCTCAACTTAGCAATTTGAGGACAAGTCAATGTATGCCACGCAGGTGTAGACATGTACAGATATAAAGATAGACAAGCTCTGAAATGTCAGTGGCTTGCCCTTCCAAACACTGGTGCAAAGCAAATACCTGTACAGCAGCTCTCAATGCCAGGGTTTGGCTACCGCAGCTCTAGGTCCAAGCACCACCCTGGCGGGCCTCAAGGCGAACATCAGCCAGCATGACTCCTAACGGAGACTTGACACAACGTCGGTCGACCCATCGATGGAAGTCCTGCACGTGATGTATGTAAGCCCTCACTCTTCACCACTCGCAGCCGCTGGATGTGGCTGGGCTTTGCAGATCAAAATGTATGACATGGCCGGGATCACTGGACGCCCGGCTTTCATACTAAGCACGCAAGCTTCCGCGCTTGCAGATAAGCGGAGACGCCCTGAAAAAATCGAAAAGTCGAAAAGTCGAAAAGTCGAAAAGTTGTCGACTTTTCGACTTTTCGACTTTTCGACTTTTCGGGTCTCGCCGGGACTTTTCGGTACTTTCCGACTTTTCGTGGCTTTTCGGGCTTTTCGACTTTTCGGGGCTTGTGCACTTTTCAAGATTTTTCTACACTTTTCGACTTTTCGGACTTTTCGGGCTCATCCCCCTCAGGACTTATCTGGACTTTTCGACTTTTCGTGGCTTTTCGGGCTTTTCGACTTTTCGGGGCTTGTGCACTTTTCGAGATTTTTCTGCACTTTTCAACTTTTCGAGCTTTTCGGGCTCATCCCCGTCAGCCCTTCCGACGACACACACACACACACATCCTAAACCAGTGCTATCATAAATCTACAGCCGCTCCGAATTTAAGAAGGCCTTGTAGGCTTCGCCGCGTGGATCTTACATGCGACAGCCTCAACGACGTGCCTGGGCAGCCTACATACATCCGGAGAAGACACTTGGCGATCATCTTTAGACCCAGGGCCTTGAACCC